GACACGGACCGGCCGCTCCATATTTGCTCCATAAGAACGCACTGGCATTTTCCGCCCTTTTTTTTGGGGGGAAAAAGTGCGTCTTATGGAGCGAAAAATACGGTATATTATGCCATCAATTTACGCAGCGCTTTACATATATATTGTACATTCACATCAATTCCTAACCCTCAAGGGGCGTACAATCTAAGGTCTCTAACTTACATTCATACATACACATACTAGACAGGATCCTATTACCTCCCAGCATGCCTTTGAAGTGTGGCAGGAGAGCGGAGCACCTGTAGGAAACCCACGCAGGCACAGGGAGAACATGCGAACTCCAGTCAGGTGGTGCCATGGGTGGGATTTGAACCGATGACCCTACTGCCAGGTGGAAGTGTTAACCATTCAGCCACTGTGCTGTCCAACTAAAAAGTTGCAATGGAAATCACAGAACTTTGGAGTCGCACAAGTGTGAATAGATCCTAAGGCCTCAGACCTGAACTGGTCAAGTGACAAGCAGGCAGACCACTCCACTCCTAAACAAAGTTGAGCTTCAAACAACCAAAAAATGTTTTTGTAAATCTAATGCTCTGTAGCCAAAGAATAGCCAAAGCCAAAGGTTGGAGGGGTCCAATAGGTCCACCCACTACAGGAGGGGGCGGAGACAAGACCAGTCACCCCGCACAAGGAGAGAAAGGTGTAGTGACCAGTCTTTATTATACAGATTCCTGTACAGAGGCATAATACAGGAGGTGCTTTATGCTAGATTTCTGCACAGTTCTGGTAGAGATTTCACAGAATGGCTAATCGGTCAAAAGATCAGACAGAGAGTAACTGTAGATTGTAGTTTACTAAACAAAGTTAGGCAGCTTTCACACTGAGGCTGCTGAACAGAATAGAATATAAAATGATAGAACAAAATAAAAAGTCATAGAAAAGAATAGAATATAGAAGAGAAAAGAATAGAATATAGAAGAGAATAGAATAAAGTATTAAAATGATAAAATAGAATGAAACAGAATAGAAAAAAAATAGAATAGAATAAAATTGAATATAGCCATCTTTCAAAATTCAAATTTCAGAAGTCGGCTGTGTTCGTTTTTTTTTTTTTCTTTTCTATTCTTTTTTTATTCTGTTTTGTTCTATTCTTTATTCTATTCTATAAAGCAGCCTAAGTCTTCCTCTTTTCCCTTTTTTACACCTTACTGCACTTACTGCATTATGTTTCCATTTCGAATTTGAATTCTGATCATTTCGAATCGATTTGAAAATAACATACAAAAATAATCAGAATATAGGAAAACTCTCCAAAAATGTGACATTCAAACATAGCAAATTTGATGAAATATTAGTTGTTAACCTAATGAACAGATCGGAAACACAACAAAACAAACTTTACATCTCTATTGCACGTTTAAAACCTCAACTCCCCATTGAATTGCATTGAAAATGCATCAAAAACACATAAAAATGCTTCACAAAGCATCAATGGCAAACCCGTCCACACCCAGTCAATCTGGAAATGCAGCATAAATTACATGTACATTTTTAACGTGTTTTGCAATGTGAAAAGAGCCTTAAGAAGCAATAATGTAAATGCTTCATTGTGATCAAGAGGTGGCATTAGGGGTCCAATAGACCCATGATATCTCCCTATTATATAACTAGAGGCAAACATTATAAACAATTCCTGCAACGCTCCACACAAAATCCTTTGTGCAAAAAGGAACATAAAGTAACAAATAACATGTATAACAATTAAACAAGACACTCTATATCAGGGGCAGACTGACAACTCATGGGGCCCACAGGCAATAGGGGATCATGGGGCCCCTGTGTCCTTACCCAAACTCAAAAAAGCCTATGAAAAAGGTACCAGGGGCATCTCATGGGCAAAACAGGCTGGGACCTGGCCACAGGCAACGAACATGCATGCAATAGTGCTGCTTTTGGAGGATCTAGGCTGACTCCTAGCTGGCTGCCCCAGAGATCTTTTTAACCATTTGTTGCACTCCTATTTGCGCTTGAGTTATCTATTGTAAAAGGCAACATTTATTTTTTTAGTCTTGGATACAGTAGAGATGGATTAGAAGCCCTGTCAGGTTTTTATTGCTGTTTCTGCCGTTAGGGTGATTCACCCTCTCTATTTGTCCTGTTTATTGTGGTTACCGAGAGTAAAATTTACAGTGAGCGAAATCAGAGAGTAAAATTACAGGGAGCGAAATCACAGAGAGTAAAATTACAGGGAGCGAAAATCACAGAGAGTAAAATTACAGGGAGCGAAATCACAGAGAGTAAAATTACAGGGAGTGAAATCACAGAGTAAAATTACAGGGAACTAAATCACAGAGAGTAAAATTACAGGGAGAGAAATCACAGAGAGTAAAATTACAGAGAGTAAAATTACAGGGAGCGAAATCACAGGGAGTAAAATTACAGGGAGTGAAATCACAGAGAGTAAAATTACAGGGAGCGAAATCACAGGGAGTAAAATTACAGGGAGTGAAATCACAGAGAGTAAAATTACAGGAGTGAAATGACCGAGAATGAAATCACAAAGAGTGAAAGAAAATGCAAAATTTAGGGTTGTCAGCAGAATGGTGATAGAGATCAAATCTTTCAAATATTTTGGTATCACTTAGTCAATTACTTTTTTTTTTCTCTTTAGCCCTTTTATTCTGACGTTGAATTTTTTTTGTTATTGCAGATGGCCCAGAAAACGTGAAAGTAAAATCCACGTCATCTTCAAATTCCCTCCTTTTATTAGAATGTTCTGCTGATTCTGTCCCACCAGCCACCTACCATTGGAGACTAAATGGGACAGATATAAAACAACAGCAGAGCCAGCTTCAGGTAGCTCAAGAGAAGACTGAGAATGAGGGACTTACACATGTGTGGCCAGGAACTCAGTGACGCAGCTTACTGCCATGTACTCTGTATATGTGAATGTAACATTCGGTAGGTATAAGAATCATCTGCCATCAGAACAGAATTCCATCACTAAGGCTCGGTTCACATTAGTACGACTCCAAAGTCCAGTGCAGGGGCGGACTGACAACTCATGGGGGCCCCGGGCAATAGTGGATCATGGGGCCCCTGTGTCCTTGCCCAAACTCAAAAAAGCCTATGAAAAAAAGGAACCAGGGGCATCTCATGGGGCCCCCTACTAACCCCGGGCCCTCGGGCAGTGCCCGAGTTTCCAAATGGTCAGTTCGCCCCTGGTCCAGTGTGACTTTGGTGTGCAAATTTTGATAACTTTGATGCAACTTTTACACTCTCTCTGGCACTCAAGTCACATCAAAGTATTGATGTAATGAAGTTAATTCAGGAACCTTTGTGTCTTTAAGTCGCATTGATTGGAAAAAAGTGCCATTGAAATCAATGGGCTGTGACTTGTCATGTGACTTTATGTATCCAAAGTCACATGACCAGTTGCACAAGTGTTAATGGAGCACTGAACCTGTAAGTACAAAACATTGGTGTCTCTCAGTATCTTTTTAATTTAGAAGTTTATTTTGTATATCTGGTCCTAACCTAGCTTTAAGTCTCCGGTCACACCCGCTGCGATTTTAAATTGCATGATTTGTGTGCAATTTCAGGTGCGATTTCTGAAGACTTTATTACTAATTGTGACGATTTCCAACGATTTCTTGAAATTTGCAGTGCGATTCCATTATATTCTATGTATGTGAAGTCACAACAAAACGGTAGAAAAAGTAATGCAAGAACTACTTTAGAAACTGCGCTGCAGCAAATCGCACATGTTAAGACACCGACATTCACTAGATGCGATTTCAGGTGCGATTTCAATTTGTACATCGCACCGGGCACTAAAGTGTATCTAAAGCCAAAACTATATCTTTTTATTTTGGAACGAGTGGTAAAGCTTCACAACATCAGTCTGGATTATGTTGCTGTCTATGTCCCCCATTGCGAAGATTCGGTCTCTATTTGGTCTGGTGACCATAAATGTTTTAATTTATTTATTTTCACATATTATATATAAAAAATTGCTTTATAATAATGGGTGACATGATCACAAGAAATGATGCCTTAAAAAAGGAGAATGAGTTGTAGGGTTGCTTGGTGAAGCACAACTGTAAATTCCTCTCTGCAGTCCCAGGAGAAGATATAGATAAAGTTCTTTAACATAAAACTAAAACACTGTAAAGCTCAACATAGTAATGATACACACAGTATACATTTCATTTTCACCTTGGTAGTACTTTATCACAGGGGCGGACTGACAACTTATGGGGCCCCGGGCAATAGGGGATCATGGGGCCCTGTGTCCTTGCCCAAACTCAAAAAAGCCTATGAAAAAGGTACCAGGGGCATCTCATGGGGCCCCCTACTGACCCCGGGCCCTCAGGCAGTGCCTGAGTTTCCAAATGGTCAGTCCCGCCCCTGGTTTATCTTTTTTTTTGTACTTTGTCCCGTATCTGTGAACGGCTTCTCCCAGCATCCCTTTATCTTATCTACAAAGAAATGATTCTCTTCAAGTAGGATACTGTCCGCTCATTATAAATTCCATACTGACATGGCCATCCATCAGTGGTTTCTTTCTGTAGTCCATGTAACCAAAAAAGATCCCTCACCAGCTTGTCTCCTGACTCAATGAGAAGACACCTTACATTTCCTGAATAATTGGGTTTTGTGGACCCATCTGCCCATTTAATGCCAAATTCAAAATTTTCTGTAAAAGGTAGAGACACAACTGTCAGGGATCCCGGGCTCTCGGCGGTGCGCGCATGCGCAGAGTGCCGATTCGTCCAAGCCGGCGAGCACAGAGTCCTCGGCGATCGCGGCGGCGGCCGCGCATGCGCACTAGCGATCGCAGCCGCACCAATGGAAGAACAGGGCGCTCTATTTAAAACTGCCCTGTGCATATCCAAGTTGCCGCAAGGTCTTGTTCCTGTTCCTGTAAGTACGTTTCCTTGTTGCCAAACTCTCTGCCTGTTCTGATTTATGCTGACCCTCTCCTGCTCTGACCCCGGCTCGTTCTTGACCATCCTTCTGCTGCCTGACCCTCGGTACCGCGCTGTCCGCTACCTGCTGAACCTGGCTTGTGACCCCGACCATTCTCCGCTTGCTCCCCCTGTACCACGCTGCCCGCACGATACCAACCCGGCTAGTCTGACCTCGCTCACTCCTAGCAGTCACCCGTCCATCCCGCTCGGATCGGGATCTGTCATCCCATCCATCCCGCTCGGATCGGACCTGTCATCCCCTTCACAGCAGGCTCATCCCTGGCACATACCCTCAGCGGGACCCCTCTGCCAGGGGTGCCCAGGGGCGCGACCTGGTTCCAGTCTTGCACCAAGTCCATCCCCACCATCAGGGGCCCTGGTGAAAAAGCAGACTGGGACTTAGACTCCGCGTCCTGGGAAACCCCGTGCTGTGGACCACTAGAGATCCCGTTGGGCGGAGCCTGACACCAACAGGCAGTAACTTATTCAATGCATATACAATCTTTTTTATTGCAAGCTCAGAGACAGAAAGAATCTAATACACAAAAGATGCTGACGCATTTCGACCCTAAGGGGCCTTAGTCATAGCTGCGACCAAGGCCTGCAAGGGTGGAAATGTGACTATAAGGGCAGAAATGCGTCAGTAACTTTTGTGTATTGGATTCTATCTGTCTCTAATGAGTTTGCAATAAAGAAGATTTTATACGCCTTGAATACCTGAGTTTTGGATGCATGTTTCAACAGCATGTGGTCCTGGCACAGATGTAGTAACCCCTATACCTAGCGTCCATGGATTGTAGTACCACGCTATTTTATCATGGAAACTGTTAGCATATACTACATGTAACGTGTAAACTGTCCTTTAAAGCTGAACTCCCAGGCATGGCTCTCCCTCCGTACTTCTTGTCCCTCACCCCACCATCTAATCTCTAGGTGTAGGTTAAAAGTCTAAAAGCCCAAAATACTGACATGAATGACACAGAGCATACTGGGTTCTGATTATATCCTCTCCTTCATTAGAAGAGAAGGGCTCTTCTTTGAGAATCCACTTCACTGCCTGGGTGACTTAGAAACTTCAGCAGTAAAAAAAATGTCCACTGCTCCAGTCTATAACTGGCCTTCACAGCAAGGAGCCCATGGAAAAGTGATACATGTGCAGCAATAAAAGAGAAAAATTCCCAGCTCAGCTTACCAACCAGCCTGCAAACAAACCCAATTAGCCTGTCTAACAGTATGCGTTAAAAACAGGGGTTTACTTGGCACACATTTGCAAATATATGTGTAAGCTGCAGAAACTCTTTACGGCACCCCGATATTCTGCAGTTCCTAAATTTTGAGACCCCCATATAGTAGAGGCACATGTATGTAGCCTCCCTAGCGGTCTGATTATGTCAGTATTTCTGTGCTCAAAGCGGTACATTTTTCTGCATGGAAATATGTCTTTTTTTTATTGTAGGCCTGTAAATTTTAAGAATAACTCACTGAAATCTGTCCGAACAAGAGTCTAGTAAACATCCCGGGTAGGATAAAATTTGAAACACAAAATCATAATTTATAATTTAATAAATAATCATAAAAAATAATAATATAATAAATTTAATTCAATAATATAATCAAACCAAAAACACTGAAATTTGAAATAGAGCGCCAAGTTCGCACATCGCTGAGCAAAGTCGCAGAATCGTTTTCAGTGTCTGATGACGAATTTCCCCACACGAATCATTATCACTCAATTCTGCAAGTGGTTCTGATTTACTATCGCTGTTCTCTAGCCGGTCTAAATGGACGCTTTTTGGACACCATGGACGTTTCTCAGTTTTCAGGCAGAAAGAAAGGTAAAATTGCAGGCAGGACGCAGGACAAAGCACTCGGGACAAAATGTATGTGAAATGGTTTGATACAGTAATGTTATACTGTGTGATTTTAGTGTATTTAGTGAATGTCACTTTTTGACATTTTTAAATTTCCTGCCAATTCCGTCCCCCGTACGTCCCGACGTCGCAGGGAACGGAAACCTGGAAGACGGATACTGGGATCGGCCGGAGGATATGGCCGGGGACGCTGCAGGGGGGACATCGCGGGAGTGTCCCATAGGAAATCATGTTAAATGGATTGTACTGCATTTCAGTAAAATGCTACGGAAAACGCTTAGATGTGAACCTGGGGTTATATATACTCTATCTTTTATACAGCACTATTGTTTTTTTACTTAAACATGTGTAATAAACGAGCATTTTCTCTACAACACTCATATCCTGAAATGGTAATTAAACATGATTCAATGGAGTGTCCTTTGTGCTTCAGTAAAGTCTCTCCATCCAAGTGCCTCCAGTTATCTCCCTCCAAGATTGTAAGCTCCAAGGAGCAGGGCCCTCGAACCCCTCGTGTATCGCATTGTATTGCTATTGTACTGTCGCATGTATTGTCTCCCTTTGTAATGTACAGCGCTGATTGAACTGTTGGCGCTTTATAAATACTGTATAATAATAATATTAATAATTCACACTATAATGCACAAAGCCTTCAAACTTATTAAAGTGTCCATGCTCAAAAAAGTGCTCCATGGGCGGCACAGTGGCTTAGTGGTTAGCACATCTGCCTTGCAGTTAATGGGTCATGGGTTCAATTCCCGACCATGGCGCCTCCTGCCTGGCGTTTGCATGTTCTCCCTGTGCTTGCATGGGTTTCCTCCGGGTGCTCTGGTTTCCTCCCACACTCCAAAGACATGCTGATAGGTTAATTGGATCCTGTCTAAATTGGCCCTAATATGTGTATGTATGAATGTGAGTTAGGGACCTTAGATTGTACACCCCTTGAAGGTTAGGGACTGATGTGATTGTTCAATATATATGTGTAAAGCGCTGCGTAAATTGACTGCGCTATATAAGTACCTGAAATAAATAAATTTCCAACAATCCGTGCCATTGTGTTCCCAAAATCCTCCACCATAAACACAGAACACTCAACAGAATTCTATGACTACCTATCACAGGTGAGTCATACAGCGCTTGGTATCATGGATCACCACCATCAGCCTTCTCCTTCTTGGGCCAGCTGCACTCTTTCCTTTTTAAATATCTCACATAACATGTAGGGAGAGATGGAGGGAGACTACCAAAACATGAAATCTTGAGAACGTCAGGAAGAGGAAACGTGTGTTCGGGGCATGGCAGGAAGGGATGTCATCCAACACAGCGACACCGGAAATGGTCAATACAGGAGAAGGTGGCGGTGAGAGAGAGCCTAGAGCCAGATCCATGTTATCCCTATGCTTATGGTGTTTTTACCCTGGTGTAAGGGTATGGCGTTCTCAAGATTACACACTATGGTAGTCTCCCTCTATCTCTCCCTACATGTGTGAGACATTTAAAAAGGAAAGAGTGCAGCTGGCCCAGAAGAAGGCTGATGGTGGTGATCCATGATACTAAGCCTGATTGATAATTATAAAACAACTCCCATTAGATTCACTTTGCATATGGACACAGACATTCTTTCATCAGAATAGCAAAAGGCAGGAATCTCTTACTCTTTAATGAAATAAAAAAATCAAAAACATTACAGTCTTTAGTAATTATCAAAAAGAAAAACAAAAACAGTTTTTTTCAAGACTTTATATACAATAGACACCAGGACCAACATCAAGGGAGGATTTCCCTAGCAGGAACAGCAATATAAACCTGACAGAGGTTCTAACCTTCCCCCAGGGGACAACTGAGCTGGGGAGGCAATTACCCCATGGGCCACTCTGATGCCCCATAAAAAGGCCACACCACGTCCGCCGCAGACGTGCCTAAAAGGCTTCCTAGTGAGGAATAAAAGGTCCATGCCGGTGTCCTACCAAGTGTGGGATGAGGACGAGGACAAAGGGCAAGGCCGGCTCCTCCAGCATGGATGGTATACGTCCAAGCACAGGCTAGCTCCGCACCCCTCCAGACACTCTCCTCTCCTGGCCAGCCCCAGCCAAGCCACCCCAGCTCCCGCCTGCAGCCCCGGCTGCTCCCTGCTGGCCAATTCAGGAACCTGAAGTCAGTGCAGCAGGTGCTGTCCAACCCGACATGTCTGGTGAGCAGAGAATATCTGGAGTGTGGCTTCAGCCTGGGATGGGGGTTGAGAGGAGGCAGGGAAGAAGGAAGGGGGGGGGGGCTGAGTCACTGCACCATGGGCCTCTGGGTTGTACTTGCCCCCTTGGACCATAGGTTGCCAGTTAGCCCCTGCCTTCCACATTCTATCCAAAAACAGTACTTTTCATACACTTTGACTAATTTTTTGAACAAACAAAAAGAAATGTATATTGTGTCACTGACATACAAATTGTCTTCTTTTTTCAGAAGCTAAAGACATGAATGACAACCTCAATCATGAGACATCAGCCATTGGAATTCTAACTGGAGTTGTGTTACTGCTGGTTCTTGTCGGTGTGTTAGGTTACCTTTTTGTAAGACACAGGCGTCACAAAAGGTAAGTGTTTTACACAGGATAAAGTTCCAATGTAAGTACAATTATCCTACATCTTTCCATTTCCAGCTAAATAAAGCCTTGAAAGAGCACGGAAGAGCGCCTGATACAAGAGTTCATTCGATTGTTTGAGGTTTTTCTTAAACATTTAGCCCAGGTTCACACTATGTGGTATCAGACACAGCATGTAATTCGCACAGGAATCGCACCACATTCCAATGAAAACTACATGCAGATATCTGTGCGGTGGCTCGCATCGCATAACATCTGTGCCGAAAAGGTGCAGGATCCTTTTTTAAATCTGCAACCAAATTACCATCACATGGGTGTTCTCATCCTTGCAATTAAATTTATGGTAATCATATTGCGTTTTGAGATCTGTTTGGGGTGTCATTCATTTATCATTGACACCCGCACCGGAGCGCATGAACATGATGCGATTGCAATGCGGTGTGCAAACTGCACAGGATTTGCAGCATTTCCCGCACTGCATTAGTGTGAACCCAGGCTTAATGGTTAAGAGCATCAAATACTACCAATGCATTTTGGGGAGGCAGCCTCCTCCTTCTTCAGAGTTCCTTGGAAAATTAGCTCTCTTAAAGGTGAGCGATTTTATTTTTTCCCCGTATGTGCTTGTTTATAGCTAAGAATAAATGAAATCATGTTATGGTCATTGCTACCCAGATGTTCTTTTAAATGGACATTAGTAATACGTTCTGCATGGTTTGAGATCTCCAGGTCCAGCAGAGCATCATTCCTAGTTGGGGCCTCTATGAACTGTACCTTAAAATTGTCCTGTAGTAGGTTTATAAATGTT